CCGGGGCTGCCGGCCGCGCTGCCGTCCGAGGTCCCGCTGGAGCTCAGGAGCTTCCTCTTGGTGGCGTGCAGCTGGGAGGTCAGGTAGGCGATGGTGCTGGCGCGCTGCTCCAGCTCACTGGACAGCATGCCCAGCTTGTGGCTCTTGACCTTCAGCTCCTCCAGGTACTTCTTCTCGCGCTCCTTGATGGTGTTCTCCAGCACGGCGATCAGCGCGTTCTTCTGCTCCAGCTCCCTCCGCAGCTCGTTGTTCTCAGCCTCCTTCACTTTCAGCTGGGCCTCCAGGTCTTCGCACCGTTTCTTTAGCTCGCTGCTTCTCGAGGCGCTGTCTCCTAGAAGGGCCAGCGAGGGGAGCGGAGTAAGGACAGGCCCCAGGGGACAGCGGAGGGGGTCTGTCTCTGCCCGCATCCCCCCACCATGTTGCCAGGCAGGGCCACGGACTGGGGTCCTGCTCCCTCAGTGCGGCCAGCGGCTTGGGCCCACCCGGCCCCACCACGCCTCCTCCCTGCCCTCCCCCCTCAGGAAAGGCTGGGAGTTCAGGTGGTCTTCGAGGCCCCACTCAGCTCTTACTTCCCCCACCTACCACATAAAAGAATGTCTCCAAATTTTAAAACTGCTTTAGTTAAAGCGGGCAGTTTCAGAGAACTAAATCTCTCCAAAGGCTTAGGGTTAAACTGTTAGCAGAGCCATCTGTCTGTTCCATGCAAAGCACAGTTTGGAAAGACAAATGTAGACTTTCTCCACGTCTAAAGCACAGAAGCTCTGAAGCTGCAGAGGAGACAGGCTGACAGGCTGCCCCCTTTGCCCGACGTGGGTCCCCTCTCAGAGTGGCATCCTGGGCCTGTGCGCAGGCTCCACCCGGCCCCGCCCCTAACATCACACAGGCCGTGCCAGGTTCTGCGGGCCCCACGTGGCGGTCACAAGCAAGACCCTCCCTGGGCCGTGTTAGTGCCGACGCAGGGCAGCTGAATGGGGCAGGTGGCCCATGAAGACAGACCCTGGTGGTCAGGCCAGAACTGGCATTTGTGGGTACCTCTCAGACGAGGATGCAGGTTCAGAGATGTTCGAGGACTGGCCAGACAACTCCTCTGAGACCGGGCTGCGTGTGCTGCTGTAAAGCAGGGGCTTCCGCTGCTGGGGCGGGAGGGGCCCACCAGGCCCACCTGGGAGGTTTGCAGTGTCTCCGCACGAGGCGCTGTCAGCGCCCCGGCTGACGGGGGGTCGGCTTGGTGGGTGGGTGGCCGTGGGACAGAGGGCTGAGAACCACGTGTGGCGAGGGTATGGAGCAAGAACTGTGGCTCTTCAGATTAGCCTGGGCCCAGAGGGGACAGGAAGTGAGGACAGCCTGATTTCGGTGACATGGATGGCAGGGATGCTGGCTGGGGTCCCCAGCTGGAGGTGGACACCCTGTCCTCCTGAATGCCCAGTGGCCCAGGCGCTGCGGAGGGTGCGCCTGGCATCCGCCCCCTGCCCCCAGGCCCCTCCTCTACCACACACAGGGGAAGGTGTCCTGGCTCCTGAAGGCGCACTCAGGAGACTGTGATGTGAGTAACACCAGAGGGAAACCAGTGCTGGCTAACACACTCAGACTCAGGGAAACGGGCGGCGTGTTTCACAAGGAACTAGACACACTCACGAATAGTAACTGCCAGTGCGAAGCCTGTAGAAAGAGTCATCTTGACTCAAATGTGGTTTCTGCACTTTTAAAATCCCCACCCTGTTCTGGGGAGTGAGCTATTTGGGACAGGCCACAGAGGCCCCATTTCTGTCTCCCCAGCCCCGGCTGCCACCAGGCTGAGATCTCTGGGGGTCCCTGACGATTCTGGTGTCAGAGGAGCATTTGTGGGACTAGAGTCTGGAGAAGGATGTTCAGCGATCCTTTGGGGGCTGTCCAGGAACTGGACCCCCCACTCAGCCATGCACGTAGGGAGCACACACTTTGTGCCAGGTCCTGTGCTGAGCTCGATGGACACAGAGGAGGCAGGACCCTGCTCCCGCTCCTCTTTCATTCTGGTTTAAATCGTATCTATTTCTTGATTACAGAAGGAACACACATTCACCGTAAAAAATCAGAAGAACCCAGAAAAGCATATACTGGGCATTCCAAATATATGCTTGGTCCCCTAGTCCCCAGGACTGCCCTCCCGCCTTTACTTGGAGAGCTCACAGGTGCAACTCTTCACAGCAAATGTGTTTTCTTCCACGTGTGTACCTAGTGAAAATAGCTGGCACCAACACGCGCCCCAGCAGGAAACGGTATCATCAGCTTTCGGGGAGGGAGTTCTTACCTGTCTGATCCGAACTTTTGACTGTCAGCTCATACGTTAAATCTGAAAAGGAGACCATAAATAATTAAAAGCTATTTAAAAAATTAAAAAAATTTAAAAGCAAATAAAAAAATTAAAAGGAGGCCATATACATTAATTTTGTAAGACTGCAGTCTATTTCAAAAGCTTCATCAGCTCTGAAAACGCAGAACCAATTCCCACAATCAGCCCGTGAGTCCTGCCCAGACAGAGCCGAGTTGGCAGCATTAGAGGCAAGTGTGAGAACAATAGAAACTCAGCAGCCACTGTCCTCACTCGAGTTCAGCGGCGACCCCTCTTTTCCCTAGTATACACCCCAACATCCACAATTGGCAAGCAGCCTGCTCTGTGTATTGCACTTTGGTCATTGGTTCCAAAATGTACTGCAATTCTAACCACTGCATTTTGATCTTTCAAGTCTTTGGTAAGAACCGAGAACTGGCTTCACAGCGTTATGCTTGGGGCGTGTGGATGAGGCAAAGCGCTCAGAGGGGCTCCAGCGATGATGCGGTTAACCAGAGAGAAGCGAGAAGAGTAAAGCCCCTTCCCACTCACTGGTGAGCGAGCCTGGCGCGGCTTCTGAGCCAGCCAGCCTGAAGCCGTTGTGAGGACAGGTTCCATTCTGCTCCGCAGCCGTCGGCTGCCCCCGCCCCCCCACCCCGAGTGCCGGCCGGGTACCTGTGCAGTGCTGCTGCAGGCGCCGGATCTCGGCGTGCAGCCCCTTGAGTGTGCTGGCGTGCTCCCGCTGGAGGAACAGGAGGTTCTTCTGAGCACTCTGCAGCTGGTTCTCCAGGTTTGTGGCTGCCATGCTGACATCCAGATGACCTGCGGGAGACAGACCCTGGTGGCTGTCTGGGACAGGGAGGGTCCCAAGATGGCCTGGCCCTGAACGCAGAGGGAAGACATCAAGTCCAGGGCTCCCTGATTCCAAATCCCAGCCTCTCCACAGGCTACCCGGCTTCAACAGACTGAGCCCAGGAGCTCTCTCGAAGGAGCTCCCTGAGGAGGTAAAGCGCCGGCTGCCTCCTCTCAGGAAGACCTGGCTCCTGGGAAGTGGCCTCTAGAGCTGGCCAGGCCGGGAGCAGCAGGAGGATGTGGGTGGGATTTCAGAGGGAAGCCCCCAAATCCTTTCCTTGGGAGTTTCCTGAGGACTGTCTCACGGGGCCATGTGGTGGCTGCAGGAGCCTGGGGCCCCGCCCCCACCCCATCAGTCCCTCATGGGTCCTCAGCCGCTCGCTCAGGGCACCCGATTCCCTGCCTTGACTGAAACCCGAGACATGTGAAGTCAATCAGCCTTTCTGGAAAAGCTACCGGAGTAATTCCAGATGCCTTACACGGCACTGAAAACTGCTACGAATGAAATGTGGATTATTTGCCTATAAATTACTCTTGTGACTATAGAGCTTCCGCATGCCTTTTCCCTAACTGCCTAAATAATCCTTTAAAAAGGCCAAAGAGCGCCCCCGAGGAAACACCACTTCTCAGAGGGCTTCTGGTGGGTATGTGCCAGGATGGCATGAGGGACCCTCGGAGGTGACAGCCAGGCACGGTCACCGCGCTGGGACCCCACTCCCTCTTTGTAAGTCTGCCCCAGCCCTGGAGCTGAGAACGGTGCGTCCCTGGAACCCAGTACACAGGATTTCATTCCCAAGAGAAAGCTCTTCCAAAGGAAAGTGAAGAAATGCAGAGGAGGACGCAGGATGCGACAGTCAGAGCCCAAGAAGGGTGCACGCCGACTTGTCCTGGGAAGGACGCTCCCGCTGGGAGAGAAGCCGACGAGAGGAAACAGGACGTGCGGTGCTCGGTAGGGATGCGCGCTGTTCCTTACGGCGGGAAGCAGGCTGGCAACGTGCGTCTGGAGCCTGAGAATGTCTCTTCCCTCTGACTCGGCAATTCCATTTCTGGGAATCCACTGGAGGGAATTAACTGCCTCTGTGTGAGAAGATGTAGCTGCACTGTAAGTGCAGTTTACAGTCGGAAAAGACTGGAAACAAACTCGAAACCCAGTAAGAAGCAATTGGTTGAATCAATACAGGCTCATTTCTATGGAAGGAAGATTGGATTTCCCCAGGCCTTGAACTCTACCTAAAGCCTGGCTGCAGACGATGCCAGAGTTGAGTTTCCATCAACCGGAGCTTCCCTGGAGGGAGCTGAAAATGGCCTTTCCTCGGGAACAAGGAAGGTTCCCGCCCCTGGAAGCGTCTCTGCTGCAGCCACCAGCTCCTTGTACGAGGCCGCTGGACCAGACACTAATGCTGGCTGGAACCCCGCGGTCCTGAGACCCTGATGCTGTGTGGTCAGCACGCGGCCTGGGGAGAAGGACACTGGCCTAACAACGGAGCCAGCTCCGAGCAAGGCCAGTCCGGCCGGTGAGCCGCGAAGGGCTGCAAGCCGAGCAGCCTCGACATCAGAGGGAGGGGAACCTGGGACGGCTTCTGGGGCTTTGGGTGGAGATGCCCACGTTACTTCCGCTCAGCAACCGTGAGTTGGTCACTCCGGCATCGGTTCTGTCGTCTCACCGGGAACATGGATCCCTGGGGCCTACGACGGGGTTTGCAAGGGGCAGCTCTAGAGGAGACGCCTTGCCATTTACTTTAAAAGCATAGACCGAAATCTGCGCTCCTCTTAGGGGCTTGCCGTCGACGAGAAAGAACTATTTACATTTGATCCGGGGCTCGGTGGGTTTAGGAGGGTGAAGAACGGACCTGGGCAGAGCGTTGCCCCTCCCAGCAGGCGCACTCACTGCCCAGCCGCGGGGCTGCCTTGAGCATCCGCCGTCTCGCCTTGGTGATCCTCAAGTCCACTTGCTTTTCTCGGCCTCCACACCTAAGCCATATCACCCCTCACCCAAATCACTGCAGAGCCCTCCCTCATCCTCTCTTGCCTCCTCGATTCCGTCCATCTCCACGTGGTAGCAGAGCACAACTTCCACAGAACCTTCGACGGTTCCCACCGGGCTGAGTCGGGCTGTCCATGCGACCCTGTGACTGGCCCTCGGGGTCTTAGTGTCCCGGGGGCTCAGCCTGCCTCCAGGTCCTCTGCGGGGCCTCGTTCTTCCCACTGGGGGCCTTGCCATGGCTCCTCTGCGCAGAACGCTCCTCCCTTCGGCCCACCTTTCCCATCTGTGTGTCCTTCACTTCCTGGCATAAGTCCACTTCCTCCTGGAAGCCCTGGCCCCCAGACTGGGCAGGGTCACGCACTGCCGCACGTCATGGCCTGCCCAGAATTCTAGTTGTCTGTCTCCCACCTCTGCGCACAGACTGCAGGCTTGTTCATGGCTGGATCCCAAGTCCTTGCACGGTGCCTGGCACCCAGGGGGCCTGCGGTCAGCACTAGCTAAGCCAGTGGGCCACAGTGCCAGGCTGTGGAGTGTGGCTGGGGCACCAGGGGAGCTCCAGGCCTTCAGGGCTGAAGAGCCTTTGTTTCTAAGAGCTTCTGACTTAATTTCCAGGCATGCCTTGCTCAAAGAAAGCATGATATACTAAAATTGCAAAACAGTTTTGTTCAGCACTGACAGTACAAAATGAAGTGTGCCCAAACCTGGAAATAAATATTTGCTTCTGTGATCTACCCAGGGGGCAGGGAGAGGAGTGGAAATGTGGCCTCAGCGGGTACTCCCTTCCCATCACAGTGTGGCATGAAATTTTGTTTATAACAAATGTAATATGACTTAAGTAAGTGTTTGCATTCTCTCTGCCTTGGTGAGTCAGCGACTTGAACTGTACTAAATCTGTAATTCATAAATTCACCGTCCTAACTACAGAGATCAAAGTGTGCCCTTGGAGCTTCTCATCACCACGGGCAGGCAGTCTCGGGAAGAAGGAACACAAGGTGAACGGATGAGTCTGATTATTATTACGTGCGAAGCCAGCGAGGGAGCTCCGACGGCTCCGTCTGGAGCTCTGACAGTCACGGGACGAGGATTTTACAGCGTGAGATGTTCCATTTGGATGGTGGCCTCCCCTCTCCCATACTCTGTGCTGACCTGAGAGGCCCGGGCGAGGGGAGGCCATCTGTGCGGGGCAGTCTCCGGTTGCTGGATGTACATGAACAAGACACGTCCGCTCAGGTCCGAGGAAACAAGTCGCATCTCCAAGTGGCATCCAGGTTATTAAATTATTTTCTCATCAGCTCAGAAGGATAAACAGTAGCCCGGATGTCCTGAGGACAGAGTTGCTGCTATTTAAAAGAAGGTGATGCTTTAATTTCTTAGCCTTAGCTACTGGTGACCTGGAATCACTGTTAAGACTTAATCCTTCCCAGATGTTGACCTGAAGGAAGCTGCAGGAGCATCCAGGCCAAGGAGATGTAGCTGAGAGATGAAGATAATCTGGAGGAGGGGATGGAATTGGGCCTGGGAGGCTTAATTCAGAATCTCTAAGATACTCTGGGGGTCAGGGACATGGAGCAGCACTGAGGACCCGACCCTAAAAGGATCAGTGTGATGAAGGTGAAATGCGACCGTCTGCTACGGATGAATAATGCATCCTGCTTGGGCAAAGGCACTTGGCCCATCTCAGCTGCGTGTCAACTGGTAATGGAGGGCGATGTTCACAAAGCATGGCTGGCAAAACACTGCCCTTTCCGTGTCAGAAGGGCACCTGCTACACGTGGTGGGCTCTGTACTGCAGCTTTCTGTCTAGAGGCAATCCAATTTTGTTCTAAGCGTTACGACGAGCCATCGGTCAAAGGCAGCATGGCCTGGACGTGGGCCCTCTTCTGCCCTCGGAGACGCAGCCTCACGTGGAGGACGGGGTTCCAAGTGGCCGCTGTTTCCAGGGCCCGGCCACAGTGGCAGCCAGGGGCAGGCCCCTCCCCAGCGAAGCTGCCCGCTCTGCCTGTGCTCTCCCCACAGAACCCCAGCAGAAGCCAAGGGCACGGCGTCACAGAGCGAGACCGCCTGCAGGAGAGGCTCCCTGGAGCGTCTCTCCCAGGTTAGGCCATGCAAACGTTTCTCCTGTGGCAAGTTCACCAGGAATTAACTCTCTGTGAATCTACTGCTCACTCTGTACTGTCAAGAGAGTTAGCCCTTGGAAAGGGCCAGATTCTACAGAGACGGGCACCTGGCCAAGACGACGTCCTGGAGCGGGGAGAGAGACTAACGTCCTCCCGGAGTGGTGACGTGCCAACATGACGGGCTGGACCCCGACCTCACTGGGTCTGCTCTGCATCGGCGTGAGGACGATGGCTGTCAGGAGCTCACGTCCAGTTCTCACCCCAATTCAAAAGGAGCGCCCTTCCCTCTCTTTCAGGGCATTAACGTATAAATGACGACATGGAGATTTTATTTATGGACATCTCCGCTTGCACAAGCAGAGCGCTTTCCCAAGCAGAGCGCTTTCCCATCACTCATGTCGTTTGTTCTCACGACAGCCCTCCAAGGGAGAACAGGAACACATCCTGCCCAGAAGCGAACACATAAATCAGGAAATGCTGCATCTCGGCCTGGCGGCGTCTCCTGGCCCTTGGGTCCTGTGGGTGAGAATCTTGAAGGCAGGGGTGGGTTTGAAATTCAGAATCTCAAATGCCGAAGTTCAGATGCTTTCCCAAAAGTACACATCGCATCTCTAACGCTCTGAACCCGAGGGGGACGTCAGCGCAGTCCAGGGTGGGAGCCTGCTGGCCCGGGGAGGCATGACGCTTCCCCAGTAGAGCCTGGAACAGGCCCGCTCAGAGGCAGGACCCATGGCTCGCACGCGCCAGCTCGGAGAGTCAGCAGCCGAGAAGGCCCTGCTGCCCAGCCTGAACGGCAGAGAGACTCCCCAACGAGCCTGGCTTTCACTACCGGCAAAGTCTTCCAGGAGGCTGGCTGAGGGCATCCTGGGCCTAGCCAGGGCCAGCTCAGGAAGAAAGGACGAGGTACCGCCGCACTGCATGTGTATCTTGATCCTCGGGACCCCCGGTGGGTGCCCAGCCAGAGAACCAGGGCCACATGCGCGCTCTTCCTCTCCAAGGCCAGGCTGACCTGAGCCCTCGGGGGGCTGA